TCACGTCAGCCCACCAGCAGCCAACCTCCGGGAGACCAAATGTGGTCGGCAAGGAAAAGACAGGTCAAAGTTGACACGTCCAACACGGATATAATTTGAGGCAAACGGCAAGGCGGACTAAATCAAGACCACCAGACTCTATTATTACTTAACTCTGACGATGGAAGTGAGAAGGTTTTCGAAACGTCAGTTCAAGTACAATATGGTCCATGAACCCGCCGTCTCTTCTTCTTCCTTACCTTTGGGAGATGATGAACGCGATGACATATCTGGATCCCGTATCTTTCGTCATATACATATATATATATTCACTCAGAAATGTGCGAACACTGATCGAATAGGCTTTAGAACTAAGACAATCATGTTATACCGTACTTCCGCATGCATACTTGCTTAAAGCACGGACACGTTTTTCACCGATATTCCTGCTGCTGCTACATGATACTGCAACGAGCGGTTCGGCTCGTCACTAGGCCCTCAACCTTCTCTATTCGGTTTTGAGTACATTACCTCCAGATAATAATCAAGGAAATAATCGCGGAAATTATTAGGTACATGTCATGGAAGTAGGTGGACGGGACTTGACTTTTAAGGGTAAGACCCTAGAACAGAAATGCTATATTTTTTTCGCTGATGCATTCCCTGAGTTACTTTTGACTAATAGAACCACATTTGCGTTTGATTTGCCTTATGGGAAAATTACAGGCGTAAGGTATTTATAAAGTTCATGGGCGGATATACGAAATTTTCAGGTGCAATTGTAAGCGTACCAGGTTTATAGACTAACAATAATTGCTTTCAGCCAAATTCCTAAGTAACTATTTTGTGGTTTCAATTACGAAGGCGCCCTGCTCTTCATTGAAATACTAATTAAGAGTTAACTGGCTTCTGTCAATAGCCCATAAATATTGATGACATTCCAATTGCATTCCAAAAAAATTAACAGTAAGATTAATTTTATAAGCATTAAAATAAATTACTAGCTTAAATACATTTTTCTTATGCAGCTGTCTGTGTTTATGTCATCGTTTCAGAACACACCTGCATAGGTCTTCTCATTGACGGAAAAAGTGAACGTTCCAACCAAAGTCACGATTGAATATGCCATTGAGTGTGAGCAATATCTATAGCAAATGACCTGTTGAAAAATACCTTAAGTTATATATTTTCTCCTCGGATTTCTGCGCTTTTTTGAGGTTACGTCAGGATCGCAATGGAAAGTTGTGGCTAGTTTTTTGATTGCCCTGCATTTCAGGCATATGTCTTCTTCTTCAAGGAAACAGCTTACCTTTCTACTTAAATCGAAACATTCTTCAGCGTATATTTTTTTTTACTTTTAGGCTCTGTTCTACCATAAAAAATCAGCGAACATTGGCGGACTATCAACGGCGATTCGAAGGAAACTCTTGTGCAATATCCGGCGAACTGTCATTCAAATATGTGTGATGTTAATTGCCTTGCACTTTCGTTTGAATTTACAGTCGATGTGGTTACTGTATACTCATTGGATCCACAAGGGCAATCCCTGCCTGTAACCCTTTAAATATGCACTATAAGCGGGTATAGAAAATAATAATGTGATACGTTTATTGATCAATTGCGGGGTAAAAATCTTGACAGATATGCAGAATAGAATTTACTTAGCGAATGATGCTCATCTGCTCCCAAAATTGATGCGCTATCCTGTAATTTCAATATACTTAAATTAATGGACGCAAAATAAAATTTTCCGTTATGTGAACACATATAATTAAAAATCTCCTGGTCTTCATGCGTGCTCTTTTATAGTGCAACATACGCACACAAGACCTTTTACCTAGCATTTTACAGATAAGGCAATTTCACGAATACTAACAAACGCCGGATTTGGTCCCCATTCCGCCCTTATGGCCCGCAGTGTACAGATCTTAGTCGACCTCCTTTTCGACTAACTAGCATTCGCATCTCAGATCAACTCAATGAACAATAAAATAAAAACACAAATACATGTTAAATCACCACCCAAATTCTGCTCTTCACATTCTACAATATAATCTATTGTTTATTTATTAACGTAATCCCACAAACCTATATTCAGCCTTTCTCATTATCGGGTCAATTATTTGAGAACCACCGTGCTTCCAACCACGCCAGCCTGAGATATTCTGCCCAGCAATCTAAAAATACACAGGCTTGCAAGGCAGTGCAAATATGGACTTACGTTTGCCCTTGCGCAGATTGTTAATGCGCAGCCGTATTCTGAATTCCAACTATCACCTGTGGCTACCCAAAATTAGATGTTACCTAAGATGCACACCTTTTCGGGAACCACTACGAGTGGCAAACGAAGTTGAATGAGGATATAGAATAATGTGTACGTCCCCACATTTCCCGAACGTATCGCCAATGTCAAGTTCGTTACTGTCAAAAAAGAACATGCTGCAAACTTCCCATGATATTCTCAAGTCGATCTTCTTAGATATACATTTCAGAAGGGAACGCGAAAAGGAGCAGCAACAACCCTTCCTTGATGTACTCGTCAAGCGAACTCCCGACGGCAAAATATAACAATGAGTTTAAAGAAAGACGCCAAACACAACATAGCTTATCATTTGTCATAGCAACCATCCGGTGACGCTCAACTGGAGGTGTGTGAGAATGCTGTTCAAAAGAGTACAGACTCACAAGAGTAATCCTTAAGAAAATGCGCGTGAGGCCTGACAGCACCGGGATACCTACCTTTAGGACTCTATAAGCGGATTTCGACGTGGTCGTCTTCCGAGGACAGCTATCGTGATTTAGCATTCCTTGGCATTCATCAAGGATGCATCTAAAGCAACTCAACGCATTGTCATCGGACTGGGCGTTAGTATTGCCCACCGTCCCAAGGCTACAATGCGCAGCCGTGTCATTAGAATCAAGGATCAATAAAATTACAGTGAGCAGTCGGACGTAGTGTATCGTATACCATGTCCAAACTGTCCTATAAATTACACGGGACAGACTGCACACAAGTTGGGTTCGCGCATACATGAACATGAGCTGCCTGTTCGATGGGAGACACATTATACCAAGTGACAACCCACAAGTACGAGACGGGAAACGAATACTACTTCGCAGCAAAAAGGGCCAAGAACTGATTAAATCCTGGCCATCCCTTAACAACTTCATGTATTGAGGTGGCATACGCATATTTTTCATTGCGATGGTGTCTTCAGACTCACGGCACCGGCGGTTATACGGTCCTATTCCCCTCTCCTACGAAGTTTTAACGACCCTTGCTCCCATAATGTTACTTGTTTTCGTTGACGATTCCTTTCTGTAAATATTCCTATCCAACACGCTGATCTCGCACACTAATACACACTGGCATTCTCCGTAGGGGTAAGTCGGCGGCCAGACCACACAATTATTTATGTTCAGCACGTTCAACTTTTAGTTGTTTTGCACACACGCCACAAATAGCCAGTCCATGTGTTGCTGTTTTCCCACTGTTCAGTAACACTTCTCCTCAAAATGCAGAGGGACCTGTTATTAATTATTGCCTAAACATCTGTGTGCACTTTACAGAAGTACAGATTAGTGGAAAATCAGCAGAATATTTACTCAGGGGATATTTATAAGCACACAACAGGTTTGAAGCTGAGTCATTTCTCCTGTACTTAGCGGCTCGCCTGTAGTCGGTGACAGCTTTCTCCTCACTCGGCAGAATGGCCACACAATCACAGGCGTGATATTGATTTGTTCAGTTGGTCCACACGCCATACCACTGCTTCTATTTTGCTCACACCAAGGAAGGATCCCGTTTAAACGCTGACATCATCATACGTCTGAATTATGTCCGGATTAGGTTGCACAATGATCAGCGTGCTATATCGAGCTAAATAATAATCTTCTAGACGTAAAGGCATAGTTCAGAATATTGGGTGATATTTTTAAGTGGTAACTTACCATTCTTAACACCTGGCTACAAGCTGCAGTTCAGGATTAAGGTTTCGCACATAGTTAGCCGCTGTTTGACACACTTTAGCTCAATTTCTTTTGCCAAAACTACATAAAATGAAGTGGAAGACGAAATATCAATCTAATAGTTCACTGTCTGTTCACCTAAGGATCGCGGATATCTTGTAATTTGCTTTTAACATTCGTCTTGCGTGTGACCAACAGAGGAAATCTTGCGCATTTAGCGAGTTTAACTCTGCGAAATCGGTTGCACAACTGTTTCGTAGTAAGTCCTCCACTAAACGAGGTTCGCTGACGCAATCGTTGATGTAGATAATAAAAAACGCGGAAGCGATGATGGAGCCTCAACCCCAACCTTGGCTGAGAGTTTGTCGCTGGTGTGGACCGTTTGCGAGCGGCCATTGTGGAAGGTTTCTGCTCGTGCAATAAGCCAACTCCTTAATTATATGCGATTGCGTTTTAAAGCAGGTGATACTACGCCACGCTATCGAAAACCTTTCTGAAGTCGATATAGACTGCGTGCACTGAATTTGCAAAATCAGTGGTCTCAGTCCCCCGTTCTAATAAATAGAACTTTTTTTATGCAGAAACGTCCTCTACGAAAACAGCGCTGATCATCCGATAGCAGATAGTTTTGTTTCAGGATCTGCTTTTTTGAATATTTTTGTCATAATGTTTCAACAGATTGCACTACGGCTGATCGGAAGAAAGCTGTTCGTTGAGACCCGGATTCCCGGTTGTATAGCGGCGTAATCTTTGCGGATTTCTTATCTGCTGGTTAGCATCTGGTCTCAAAGAATGTTTCGAAGTCCATAGAAAGCGGTTTTGCCAACTCACTGGTGAGCTTCTCCAGAATGTTGGCCAGCACATCATCGGAAGACGGTGACGTAGAATCTTTTAAACCATAGAGTTCCTTTAAAACAACACGCTCGCGGAATTGAATAGTGTCAACTATTGTATTCAATTCAGTGTCAACGGAAGTGTAATCGTGTGTCGTATCCATTATTCACAAGTGACAAAAAATTCCGAAAGATAATCAGGTTTTGCTTTATTTTTTAATCAGGCCTCTACCCTCACCGGTCCTCATCAGCAGCATGGGATCTTTGTGTTTAGTACTTTAGATGATGTTACTGTAAAACAAATTCGGCGTTCACTTTGGCAGGGTTTAGCAGGTCTGCTACAAAATTGCAAATTTTTTAACGCATAAGACCGAATAAAAGCGAATATGCGTGCCACACGCTCTTGCTATAAAAAAGGAAGACGCGATCTGTGGAACGATAGCTTTATATGGAGCTTTCGGCTCCATACATGAAGCCATCGTCAGAGTAAATGACAACAGCCGGTTTCAGTTACGCATAGTGGGGTTCGGAAGGAGTAGGCGGGTGGCAACTATTGATTGGTCGCTGTCTGCGCCACGTCCATTCTCACGCTATATTATCGTTTCTCCAAAGCGCGTCACTGGAGTAACGCGTGTGACGTTGACGTGGTAGGTTACATGCCTGTAGAGGAACTGGGCCCTGGTTTCTGGTCACGGGCACGGATAGTCAAATAACAGGGCGGTATAACCACATGTCTGCTAATGGAGTC